TTCGACTCAACGTAAATCTCGAGAATCACTGCGAAGGGAAGAGCCGCAAGTGCTTTCAAAAATGAAAAAAAAAACGCGAGAAAGTCTTTTCGAATCAGTGTATACGTCGCGGTACTAATGACGACTTTTGAGTGAAAAAATGACTTGCGAACTGCTGTAAGCTAAGACCACACACGCTTCGAAACATTGAATAAAAACAGCGAGCACGCATAATAAATATCCTTCGAAAATTAGCTCACTATCTGATCTCTCCCAAGTTCTTCATTAATAAGCATTCAGTGCGAAATGAACATTTGTCATTTACAAAGCCGACCACCCAACCCGCAAGAAAATTCCACCTTTGAGAAATAGCCCTCCATGCTTCAATATTAAAAAAAAAAATATTTCGATGAAAAATTCGACAATATACCGAAAAAATAATAATGCCGCCGTCTCTATTCTCTTCGAAACAAATCCCTTTGTTTCAGTTTTGAAAGAAAAGAAACCTTCAAGGCATAGTTAATAAAAAAGGCTACGTTCGAATTTAGATATCATAAATCCTTAAATGATCGAATTTAGTGACTATCCCCGCCAGGATTCAGAGTTCCAAATACCGTACATGTACATTTTTTCAAATCTTCTTCAAAATTTAAGAATTTAAATTATTACCTGATTTCAATGTTTTGACGCATTATATTAAAACAGTCGCGCAAGATTCCTGCAAGATTGGCCATTTTCAATCAAACAATACTCAAAATTCATGAGATCTCGGATCTTTACGCGTCCTTGCATACGATTACACATTGACTTGAAATTCGATTTTCTACTCGGAAACAGCACTGGATTTAACCAAACATCTCGACAAATTATTCACTTCACAATAAAGCCAAATTCTCCCAGCTAGTTTCCGAACTGACTCCACAAAAAAAGCTAAGATGCTTGCGGGGCTCACTGACCAGATCCTTGGCATTTCTCTATGATTTGTCGTCGGAAGACGACGACGATAGCAATTATAACAACAAGCACAAGTGAGCCGACAACGGCAACAATAATGGTCGTCACCGATGACCCACCGTCGTTCAACACTGTGGAGCAGTTTTCGAAACCACTCGTGGATTCCTTGGTCTTCAGCTCGTGTAGTGTGGAATTGGTGCACAAATCAGAAACGCAGGAGTGGATCAAAAGCGACGTCATGCCTTCCGGGATTTTGACATTCTTGCGAAGAAAATCGTAGAATCTGTTGTCCGCACTTGTGGCGTTCATTATTTGGCTTGAACTCTTCACAACGCATCCCGACTCGTAGTTCAACTTGGCAGGGAAACAGTGCTTATATAGTGCCACGGTCGTGCCTAGAATAAAAAAAAAATCCAAGATAAGTTCATATACCTCAACGAACGTGCGGAAAAATATTTGTCCCTAGATCGTTAATGGCCTAAATTCGAGACATACCAAAACTCTTCATGCAACCAAAGTCCACAAAAAGAAAAGAAATCACGAATAAAGTCAACAATCAGTCGAGTTCATTTGAATCACATAACTCAAATCATCAGCCACGATATTAATAAGACTTGCATCTAAAAAAAAGTTCGTCTCACAGACACGCAAAAAGCCGACATTGTTATATCACGTCATGATACGCAATCATGCAACAATAAGAACATGACGACCCGCAAATATATCCAGGTCAAATCATTTGAACGATTCGTGCCATTGTACGAGACTCCCCACTGGAAATCCAAATTCAAGCACAGCATCTCATATTTTGTGTTCTATTTGTTCCGAGAGTTCTGCTTCTCATCTTACACTCCCAGTCATTCGGGCATCTCCAAAACGGATATAATTCCAACAATAGAAACGCTCAATCCTTCCCTGACGCCGACTGAAAAAATATGAAGCATCGTAAAAACCGCCCTCGGTCAATCTTACGTGCTACAATTTGACGGATAGCTCAAATGCTAACAAAATATTCAAATACGTGGAAAATCCACATCGATGTTACCCCAAATCAAACTAATGTACTCATGCAAATTGACCATTTTATTCTAGAAATACGTTGCGCTTAATGTTAGATGTGTAGGTCGTCTGAAAAGGTTTGCTTGTGAGCAAGAAGTTGCCCACGTTAAGTCTTCCATCAAAGAGAATCCTCCACAAATTCATTTAAGGATACATAACATTCCAGCTTCGGTACTTATCCCACAATGGCGTGAAGGTTTCTGACTCGAGTTAGGATACAGGAAGAAATTTCGAATAGAGCTTGGTTTTCTCAAATGCTTTTTCAAAAATCCTCGAGGGAAGCTTACTTGAAAATTGGCGCATATGACAGAACAAGCACCACGAAGAAACTAATGCACAAGGTACAATTACAGCGTTTCATCATGGAAACCTAAGAAGTCTTGCTGAAATTATCGCACACTAACACGCAAACTTTTTAGCTGACCCAAGTACAGTACAGTAATTGATTTGAACTATTGAGCTTACTATAGCATTTTGAATGACGATGAACGTCTGTTGCCTCGAGCTACCCCTCACAACTTAAAATTCGAACACGAGGTTTGATTTACTGGTGTTCAAAGTCAACGCACACTTCGAATCTTCGTCAAAAAATTTCCAAACACTGGAAAAATAAATAAGTCCATCCCAAACAGCACAAAATATGATTAAAAATACCACATAGTGAGGTATTGCAACTCAACACAGCTGAACCTATTGAGCTTCTAAATGTCATCCCCCAAAACGAAACCCCTTTCAAGTTTACGGGCGGCAAGAATATTGCACAGATAAACTTCCTCCTTCCATCGTCTCGCAGTACGTTCGGTATTTGATTCAGTAATCAAGCATTCGAATCAACGTTACAATCATGTACGCAGTCCAAAAGTATTCGCAAAAAAAATTCAACCGGGAAGAGGATCAGAAGTGTCAGAGCTCAAGATCAAACGTCTTTTGAACATCACTAAAACCACCGCAATGCAGATCAACGGTATCACCAATGCGAGAACCATAATAAGCGCCATAGTAGACGACCCATCACTTCCCAGCAACTCCGCGCATCTTTCAAAGCCCGGCTGTGAACTTGAGCGCGAAAAATCCCAGTAGTTCTCACCATTACACAGGTTTACTTTACAACTGAATACGACTATGGAAAGATTCACTAAGTTCGGGGTCTGCTCCCACAGGATACCGCTAACATTGTGCGCGTCCTCGCTTGAGTTTCTCGCTACGCACCCTGCGTTATACCCTGTCTGCCCCGGGAAACAGTTTCTTGCTACGACTCTTTCGGTACCTGAAATTTCAAGCAGAACCCATATGGCTACGCAGTTCTGAAATTTTGAAGAAAAAGAAACGCTTACTGTACATATAAAAGGCTTGCTCGACATAAAAGCTCCATGCGTTATCAGACACGCATGACAAAAGAAAGTATTAGTTGAACAAGTTCGGCGAAGTCATACATACCTTCAATAACTAAACCACATAAAAATGCCTCTAACCCAATCGATGGTCCGCAAGTGCGAGACTTCGGAGCTTAGGACATATACAATATTTGAAAGATGATTACGCTGAATTGGAGATTCAAAAAACACATTCCTTTTAAAAAAAGGCGAAAAATCTTATGAAGAATTCCTAAATTAAACTCACCAACGTCATACACAGCAATGCAATATCCAAGGCATTCTGGAGTAATTGCCGGGGAAGTGCAGGAGTCCGGACTGGTGCATAAGTAACACGTGAGATTTTCTGAAAATTAGAACGGTGAATTACAAAATGCTTGTCATTCATAAAGCTTTTAATGATAATTTCGAACACGTTTAACTTTTCAAGCACAAAGAACACGACTGAAAATTTCGCTCATCCATCTAAAAGCTTTCTCCTACCACACCAATTCTGTATTCTCAAGTCAACCAAATTCAGAAAATAGGTTAAGTTTGAGTTGGAAAACGCTTTGGTGGGGGTTTTCTGGCGTTTTGAGAGATTCGAACAGTTTTCAAGTCAAGCTTAATTGACCACATTACAACTTCACAATTTCAACCAGCACAAAGTGATCATGGATTCGCCCCTCGATACAAGTACTGTAACGTACTTTCCTATGCGGAGTGAAGTGTTCAGTATTTCAATGAAACTTCATAACTCCCGAACATCAACACCTCTTCAAAATGATTCATCAAATCCTTCTCAGCTAGTTTCAAGGTGAAATACTGCTCATCTATTAAACGGAGGAGTCAAGTCCACCTCATTACACGATGCAGTTCTAATCGTGGAAAATTTCAGCTATAGAAAGAAATTTCAATTTAATTAAATGGACTGGAAGATAATCCCTGCACACCGTTTTACTAGGAATTGTTTATTACACGTTGAGTAATTCAGCCTGGCACGAGGATGCTAAGTTACGGTAAAGAAGGCGATACATTTTAGAGAAGGGGCAGATTCAACACGAAATGAAAAATCTGAAAAACGTGTTAAAAACACCACCTGCTGCTGTCGCAACGAAGCAGGCAGAAAAAACAAGTACTGCACACGGTACACGCATTTCAAAGAAGTATCCGATCACCGGTGTAACCTAAAATGTACGAAACATTAATGTAAATTGCACAACTGATCACAAAAATTGTCTCAGGGCGACTAGCAATCGCTGAAAAAAATTTGGCGATCAATATCACTCAACAGAATAATCCATTTTTCTCATATCGCCACGCACCAATAAGATACATGATTTCAACAAACGCCTAAACAAGCCAACGGCGCAAAAGTGTCTCTCAACAAGCGACCACGAAGAAACGGAATGCACACATACCTTCAAAAAACAAAACAAAACATGAACGTGAAGCAAAATTAGAGAAAGATGTAACCACGAAATTAAAAGAATTGCTGTGCTTCACAAGAATACAGGCACGCAGATGCACAAGGATTCATCCCTTCTCAACGCTTGCTCACTGTACGACATTCTATAAGTTGACTGAGTCAAACTTCATCATAGGTGTCGGAAACAATGAGCAGAAAAAGGAGGGACGAATCAAATCCTTTTTGGCTCACAGAGACCCAATTATCGAATGAATGCGTTCCAAAAGCTCTTCGCGTTTCTTCCCCAGGGTTGCATCTTCGGTGACATAATTCCCCTTGGCAATTTTGTTTCCCACAAGGCGTTCAGCAAGACTGACTTGCTGTCCAACAATATCCTTCAGGGTTTTGTCCAACTTCTGCAAGTCTAAAATCTTGTCAGCTAGGTCCGGAACACCAAGAGACCGCAATCGCGAAACTTGATCTCCAAGCGATTGAGCCAAATTTTTGTGATCTGCATTGATGTTCTTCAACTGAAAAAAAAGCCAGTCCTTGAACGAAAATTTCGCAAAAAATGATCGAAGGACTCACTTGGAATCCAAAATGTATGGAAGTTTCAGAAGCACATATAAGTACTGTACGTAAAAAATAATCTAGTTTCGTGAGCCATGTAGGTTAGCAATGGATATATCCTTGGCGCACTCAGAATTAAGTTATCCCAGCCCAACCAAAGAACAGCCCCATAAAACTCAATTTCGGCAGAATTAAATTACAATCCTGGATTTTAACTTGATTGAGTTATTTATTCTAAGCATATACGAATATCTAGTAAAATAAAATTTCAAGCACAAAAGAACCAAACACACCAGATATTATGCGGCATCTTTAATTAGGAAGGAATATCATTCCTGTTATCTCGGCGAATAAATTCAACAAGAGCTCCTCTACCTGCCTTACAGAACTCACCACCAGCAAGGGAGAGAACTCATTTGAACCCCAAGCAAATAACAATCATTCGATGTGTAAAAAAGGAATACAATCAACTGTTCCAAGCACATTTACGACGGAGATAGATCAGACATAGAATATTATATCCTCTTCAATTTGATCGCAAATCCTTACCGCGCTTTGAAACCCGTTAACGTCCTTGCTTGACTTCAGAGTGTGGATTGCAGCATCAAGGCTTGTGTAAATAGCATCTCGCTTCTCTTGAGTCGAGAGAACATTCTCCAACACACCTGCGGCTTTCATTCGAGCTTCGACAGCTTCATCCTAAGAAACAGGAGACTCAGGAAAATATGTTCGCCACCTCTCCAAAACTCTTATCACCTTCGAAATCGAAAAATCCAGCCTCACATAGATCACAATGACTAAGAACATTAAATAGCAAGCAACTACGATGAGCAAGGGTTCGAAGATCAGTCGCCAGGAGGGTAAGCGGTATTTGACTTGGAAATCCTGGATGTGGTTCTCAACAATATTTTTCTTTGTGGCGGTGATGACTTTGCGCCCGGTTGTATCCAAATAGGTTTTGAAAATGCTATCTGCTTTCTTCTCAATGCCCGGATATTCAGGAAATACGATTTCAACGTCTTCCGCACCTTCGGGCAACAACACGCTAACTTCGGCGCTATCAACTACCATTTCGTCAAAGATGTGATCAATGAAGCGCATCTGAAGAATGAAATTGTCGCCTGTGAAAGAAAAAATTCCATGAATACACAATTTTTGATTGCGCAGAAATGGGAAAACTGTCTTACGCCCAAGTTGGACTAACAATCTAAGGTATGAAGTAGTCGAAAAGTTTGTTCCCCTCACAGTAAAAGAAAAAAACATGAGAATTCTCAGACGTACCCCTAAAACATTACAACAAAAATTTCCAAATATAGTACAGTATTGTACAATGAATTCATACCTCTGCTGTACAGGTATTCATACGACGGTACGTTGTAACCGATCTTGTACTTCGTCTTCCAACCACCGAAAAGTGGGAATCGAGGAGTAAGCTCAACTTCGACAGTATCTTCCAGAATTTTCGTCCGCGACGTTGAAATGTTGCCGATGTCATCTCTGTAGTAGATTGATGATGCCGCAGCTGGGAGGAAAGTACGATAGGAAGCAACCGAGCTAGGACCAGATTGACCACGCTGATATTCATGGCGTGAGAAGGCACCCTTCAAACGAGCCCCAGTGTGAAGGACATCAACGTCTTCTTCCACTGCGATGTTTCCACCCCAATGGCTAATTTCAATCCACCGTTTCAAACTAGCAACAGTAAGAAATGGTGCGTTGTTTTCATAATGCACCGTTATTTCCTCCTGTCCACAGATAAAAATATTCAATTAATAAATAATACAAAAAGATCGACAGGCAAATCGCTCACCTCGCTGAAAGCTGGAAGGTTTTCATACGGCCCGTACGTAATAGACGTATCTGTAACTGAAACGGGCTTAACTTTCGTGTAACTCTCAATGTTATTTGAGGACAAAGTTACAACGGTTTTAGCTGATACGACTTCATAAGGAAGAAACGGATATGCATTTCCGGAATATTTCACGAGCTGTGGTTGGTTCTGAACAATCTTCGATGGGTACGGGACCAATAAGTGGGAGTAGACCAGATTCAACTCAACCTAGATAAAGATGAATCATCATTTACAACACTCATGACATCTGTATCTGGATAACATACCTCTCTGGTCTCCTTGCCTCCTATAGGACTGGAGAGGATAATTTTGTAGACACGCCCTTGCTGCGTTTTGTCTCCAGGCTTTACGGATAATGAAGCGCCCCTGTTCTTTTCTTTCCCCGTGAGTTCCTGGACAAGATTAAAATCATGCGACGAATCAGTGATTTGTAGATTAATAATCCTAATTATCTTCGCAAGAAAAAAAAATTCATACATATGCACCGAGCCAGGCAAGATTTGATTCAATAACTGCAGGGACAACGTAAGTGATGGAATCCTGAGAGGACGATCCAGGATTATGTAATGTCAACTTGAGATCCTCCTTGACGAGCTGGGACGAAATATCTACCTTTCGCCCGGCATTTTTCACGACAAGATTCTGAGCTGACACTCCGCATATGAAGAGAAACAAAACCAAAATTCCACGAGCCATTCTACAAGGCTCACGGATTCACTATTGAGTACAGGTAGAACAATTTCTTTCCCTACCTAAAAAGATAAAAGGAAGTCAATAAAATTTTCAGATTTCTTTCCTACATCCCACATCGAGTTAAAGCTTCCACTCATTTCGGCAACGTTAAAACTAATGGGATGATCAAAACCTTCTTTGCACATGGAACAGATGAAAAATACAAAATCGACACATTGAAGACGTTGCTCCCCTTCCACTTCATCCATGCTGACCCGAAACCAACGATGAAGAAATGACGCTAGTTCACGAAGTTTCAACACCCGGCTCCGTAGTCTACGGTGCACTTGAACTCACCGGCTGGCCATCAGGCTCAGCTCATCTGAAGGAGGTTAACAATGAATAAGGACAACTCAGCAATATCGCATGATCCACGGCACGGACTGGATGAACACATTCAATTTGCTACGGTCCTTGGTCAGCGCGTCTGAAATTTCAACCGTTGGCTCCACGCATGATTCACGGGCGGTGTACGAAGAACACCATACTGACGATGTCGGCATAACTGCCGACGTATTGTATTGCATCGGTGGTGTAGTTATAATTCACACTGACTCAAGTCATGGATTCTGGCATGGCGCACAGGCATCCGAACACGTACCGACACCTAGTTTTACTCGTCCTTTGTGATATACTTATGGATACACCCCTTAACCCTTAATCTTACATTGTCTTATTGCGATTTTTGTAATGGCCAGGGTTGTTCATTTATGCAGAAGATGAAACCCTTAGAATACGTAGCACCCCAAAGCCATGTATACTGTACTTGTAAATTGTATCTGGTTCATGGGATGCTTGAAGTGGTTCATTGTAACTGCTGAACTGTATGCATTGCATCTTGATATTTTCAAGAATATTGTAATCATTGGAATCCTATTGTACTGAAACACTTCATGAAAATTAATGGGTGCGCTAATATTGTTTGTTGATCCCGGCGTTTCCAGTCCAATTCATTAATCCATTTAGATGATCACTGCTCTCTCAAAAAATGTACGAGAACTCATCAAGTTCGGGGAAGGATGGCGCTGTCGATGGTATCGTTCATTCTACACGGCAGAGGTCCGCATCCGCGAAGTGAAGATCCGCGGTGGGCTTTCTCGTCGGTTCACCGCGCAAAAGCCTCAGCGGAAATGCCCACCGCGGATATTCACTCCGCGTATTTGGCATAGTCCCTTCCAAATTACGAATTAGGTGTGGCGCTACTTGAAGTGGTAGCTTCTTGAGCTCCAGGATTATGAAAATATTAGCGACAATGCTCGGTTATTGTCCAATTGTAATTGATTCGATTCTGTGTCAACCACTGTGCCCTTCGAGACAGTATTTGTGGTTTGGAAAATAGTGTGAATTTGATTAGATCCCGGACATATTGAGCGCGTTCAGCTCACTCTTCTATCGAAGTGTTGATTTAAACCTCGGTTGCTCTGCATCACAGGTAGCTTTCTGTTTTGTGTGTTCCGTTATGGCACGGTGGGAAGACCAACATAGACGGGACCACAAGCGAGAAGAACCACCGAATTCGCGTCTTTTTATTGTTTGTGGTAAAGATTTAAGTGACGAAGATTTCCAGGAAGCTTTTTCGAAGTTCGGATCCATTGAAGAAATATGGATGGTAAAGGACAAGATTTCCGGGGAGAAGAAAGGTGTTGCTTATATCAAGTTTTCCCGGACATCTGAGGCCGCTCTTGCGATGGAAGAAATGAATGGCAAATGTATTGCTCGAAGTCCTAGACCCCTAAAAGTTTTGATAGCCCACAAGTAAGTCGTAGAACAACCTTTTCAAGATTTAGAACCGTGTATAAACCTCATTTTCAGTCGCGACCAGGGTTCTAAAAGAGAAATGAACGAAGAAGAGCGGTTGTTGAGGCTGTTCATCGTTGCCCCACGACTGATGTCAGAGCAGGATTTGAGAATTCACTTTTCTCAGTTCGGTGACGTTGAGCACGTAACCCTTGTGAGGGACAAGGTTACGAAAGAGAGCAAAGGCTTCGGCTACGTCAAATACCACAAGTATTCTTGTTGTCCGGTTTGTTTGTATTAACAACCAAATGAGTTATAATTTTTTTCAGGATGTCGCATGCGGCATTAGCGTTTGAAAATTGTGATCGGATGTTCCGAGCAGTTTTTGCCGATCCCAAGCCCGTTCGTAACCAGACTTCGGGCGGATCATCTCAATCAGGCCAAACTCAGACATTGAGCACTGCAAGTTCGAGTGAAAAAGATCTGTTCACTGGGCACCCTGTGACACCATTGAGTGTCGGATTGGGCACCCCGTCTCTTACGTCGGGTACCTCCGGTCTTCTTCGTCAGTTTCCCACCAGTTTTGATCAACTGAGTTCTACTGGTTCGTTGAGAATTCCCTTCCGGACTCCGGGACTGCCTTATTAGTGGTACGTTTTTTAATGCAGCGTGTACACGTGCAGGTTCGACAGATAGTAGCGGGACTCGATTGGTCGTCCTTGCATCTCCGCAATTGAACCAAGACCAGTTGTGGCGTCTTTTTGACATAGTGCCTGGGTTGGATTTTTGTGACTTGCGAAGGAAGAGTGGACAGGTATTAGTGAAATTGTTCCGGCTAGGTTCATTCCGCCCATTGTTCGTCTAAATTTTTTTAATTAGGGTCGAAGTATCGCGAATGTCGTCTACAACAACGCCCAATCGGCCAACTACGCCGTGGAGAAGTTACATGGGTTCGAATATCCTCCTGGCGAGCGTCTTATAGTCAAGTTTTACTCCGGATTCGGCGATAAGTTAGTGAACTGGTGATTACCGTAAAACTTATTCTCGTAATTTAGATTTCCTTCCCCCAGTTTGTGCGGACTGTTCGATAACAAGCTGTCATCTGCAGCAACATTGCCGAATGTATCGGGTGGAACGGCGTCTGGTGGAAGTGCCGCCACTGCAGCTATGGCTGCAGTTGCCGCAGCTGCTGCTGCAGCTTCACAAGGTGTTAATGGGAATCAGATTTCTCCAGAAATCGCAAGGCAAGTATCCACGCTGATGGATACACTTGTTACCTGCCAAAACTTGATGCAAGCTGGCAACTTCAACAATGAAAATGGTGAGTTTCATTTGTTGTGATGACGTTTTATCTTCTATTTTGGTCATTACTCTCTCTTTCTACCAATTCTTTTTTCTTAGCTGGTTTGGTTGGAAACTTGCTGGGTCTGGGGACGACTCCGGACCTTAATACGGCTCCGGGAATATCCCCTATGTTGGGACAGAATGTTCTGACCGGTTTGAACTCCGCATCTGGAGGAGAGATGTATGATCCGAGTTACTGTTCTGTGAAACTTCCCGCTCCTCAGCCGCTTGCACCACCTGACTCCAGCATTGCGCTTAGGTTTGTCAATGTACAGTACATCTAAAGTGTGTCTGAAAGTACTGAAACCTCATTATGCGAGGTGAACTGCGTACGTGATCCATATACTTCCTATGTTTGATCTTTGAAATGTTGATTTCAGTACAGGTAGACGTCACTGGCACTCCATTAATGAACATATCAGTTTATGAAAGGAATCCAAATACACTAGCCTCTGTGTTCCGCCTGTAAACGCAGGTGCATGTCGATGAGGAAATTTTCCGAGAAATTAAAATTCTCGGAGAGATTTTTCTATTCACCGCTTAATTCCGTGGAGTATTTTGACGTAGTTTTACTCGTTTTCCACGTATAATTTAATTGGCGATTTTAATACAGTATTTACGACGTTCCTCGGAAATCTAAGACGCATTCATGTAAATTAGGCGTGAATTCACTTTTTCCGTGTTTCGTCTTTTGTCTCTTTCGAAGTTTGTTGACATCCAAAAAGATTCCGTTCACCAAATTCCTGCCAAAGATTGTTTGAGCATATGCGTATTCCTCATTTCTACGATAAATATCAAAATCTTGATATCTTTTCGGGTTGTGGTTGAGACTAGTTCTAGAGAGCCGAGTTTTCTTAATTGAACCATCTGATGCAAGAACATGAACACTTTGGGGTTAACTTCAACTTTCTATATGACGCGCCGGCGTGGATAAGCATGATCCGTCTTAACTAGATGTTTCGACCGATTTCAGCGAATTTCAAACCCCTCGAAGGATTTTTTCTTCTGCACCAAACCATGTCAAAAAATTTTAGAAGACTTCGCATTACAATGTATTAAATGGCTCAGTTCACGTTTATTGGATGTATTGCTCTGCAATTAATGCTTGTTTTTGTTGCCAGGTTGTTTATCGTTTGTTATCCTGTGCCGCCGGCATTGTATGCTTTAAAAGACGTTTTTGGAAGATTCGGCGGTCTCATCGATGTGTATATCCTTCACAACAAGAATTACGGGTATGCGAAATACGCAAACAAAGCGGGAGCTGAACGGGCTGTCGCCGTAAGTCCAAACGAATATACTTTTAATCCATCCATTTCTCTGATTTGAGTAAAACTTTAGAATAGGTTTGGAATTTTACTTGGTTGATGAACTTAACGCACAACTGTACGAAGCAATCATTTTCGTTCTCGGCGAAGTTGTGATGCACCTCGGTGATGTCTTTGTGTGTGCACGCGAACGACCGTAAAGTTGATTATATTCTAGTGTATGTCTGACTGTATGTATTGTGGCTACCAATTTTTAACTCTAGAAAGAACCTTTTCCGTGAAATGGACAGAAAAATGCTGTACTTCGATATGATAAAACACTTAAGTTTTATCATAACTTGGTGTTTACGTTAGACGCGAGGTTTTCTTTGTAGGAACCGATTGCGCTAGGTCAGGTCCAGTTATTTTTAAATCATGTATTACGGGTAGAGTGAGTTGTACGCAAGATCATGAAGCTAGATAGGTCACTGCTATGCCTGATGATTTTTTGGGATAGTATGTTCGGTCAAGTCCAGAACTTCTAGACCTATATATGCGAACCTCATCTATTTCATCGCCGTGTAAGCTGTAAGAGTGTTGTTCTGCGTGCAATGAATTGTCATGAAATCGTAACAGCACCAGCGCCTCCCGCTGATTTACTGTTTGTAAGGGTTTAATTTCATTTGGAATGTATACAGGTGTTGCACGGACAAGAAATTTTGGGATCCCGCCTCAAAGTTATGATTGCTACGGATCCAAATTTCATAAATGCTTCATCCACAACTAGCTCGACGTCGACGTCACTGGCGGACGTTCTTTCTGCTTCCACAGTCAATTGTGCTATGTCAGGTTCAGGTTCGTCAACATCGTCATCGTCGTCTGGGCACTTATCGGACCGAGCCGACTGCAAAAGAATTAGAATCGAGAGAGATGCTACCGATACAATCGACGGTGAGTAGACGTTCGATCACTTGAGTTTCAGATGATTATACACCGACGGAGACGCTTTAATTTTCTTATTCATCGAATTGTTCGTGCCATTAGAAGACTTTTATTTCGCTAGTTTGGTGGAAATCTTTGGCTAAATGCTTTCGAATTTCGGCTGTGACATTTGAAAAAAAAATAAATAAATGTGCATTTTGTTGTTACAGATTGATGAAAAATGGACTTGACCAGAACTATTTGACCACTTGACCGACCGACGTAGTGAACAAGTTGACCATGGACTGGATGGTAAAAATCGCAGTTGAAGCAGCTTTTTTTCACCGTGTTGCGAAAATCGTGGTTCCTTTGTGTCCACTTAATGCACCTACGCCTCTCAAATTTTCTCATGTGAAGAGAAAATGGTTTGGCTTTTTTATACCGAAAAAAATGCTCTGTTATTGGTGACGGCGTGGACTGTACAGACGGACGCTTCTCCTAGACGCATAATTTTTTTCCTCTCCCAGTATTTGATATAAACTAATGTTCATTACTTCTAATTTTCAATTCGATTAAGCATAGGTTTGTCATGTCCAATCATTCGGTGAAGAATCTCCAGTATCCTGTTGAAGACTGCGTCCTCCTTATAATATCTGCCCCTCCCCACATGCAAGTCACAGAACTCGAGTTATTTGGAATAGGTTCGGTGAGGATATTCGTTATTTGCAGATTTGTTCTTTTCATCTTCACGGATTTCTTATACTTTAGGTTTTTGGTAAGGTTTGATGTGAGTTCGGAATATTCTGGTAGGCGGTCTGTAGGGTTCTAAATGACAGTTTGATGGGGTAGGCAGTCTTGTATAAGATTTATAGATGTTAATCTTGCAGTCATTTTGGAGCAGCAGCGTATCAAATATATTTTCACTAGGGTGGGGCAGCTTTAACGTGGAAGTACTCGCAGACTTGATGTTGCAATCGCTTGGAAAGCTCGAAGAAAGAATTGTGATTTGATGCTTAGAATTGCGGAGACCAATCTTTTCAAAAACTGCCTCGGATGATTTTTTTAATTCTTGCGTCAACTATAAACTTTCACGTATGGTGGCTGGAAACGAAAGAGGTCGACTGATGCTATGAATGATTTACGGCTGCTGAAGGTGCTAAAAACGTATGAATGAAGTGATTTCTTTTGATTCTGGACGATTGGAATTTCACTGCGACTGTGGAAGTGTTAGCTAATTCGTTTCCGCCGAATTGAATTGCGATTGCGACTCTCGTAGACTTTGTTACTGCTGGATGAAAGGGGACGGGTGGTGTTGAATAAAGCGAGTCTCGTGCGTGAGACATAACTGGACTACGTTGTTTCGTGACTGACTTGACGATTCGTGGACGTGGGAACTGACCGTTTCTAGGGGAGCATCTTCTTACTGGCTGATTTTGCTGTTGTATCAAGATTTTTATTGCAGCGTTGCAGAGTATTTCTGAGCTTCGATCTCTGCAGGGAATCGTGCGGTAGTCTTTCTGGACCAGACAATGCTTTGCAGGAATTCTTCGAATATCTTTCTATCTTGTGTGATAAAATGTTGACAATTGAGTGAAATTGAGCTTTACTTGAAATAAAGGGGGAATTCGCAGTTTCCATTAGACTTTTTGTATTGTTTGTACTGAGTTTTGGAAGAATAAAAGTCCTTCTGTGATAAATTTGCTTCAATGGCTTTGTGCATATTCAATTTGTGTATGAGCAGATCAGGTATGCATACTACATTACAGTGGTTCTTTGCCTAATGACCACAATTTGTTCTTGCATGGTGGTTGTTGAGTGAAACAGTCATAAGGCAGGTCACCTTTCTTAAGGATTAATGTAAAACCCATTAATTGGTTCCTGAGAAAAAAGTTTTGCAGAAAGATGTAAAATTGGCCCACATTTTCAAATAACAAAGCAGAGATCCCTGAAACACTGCTATTGTTCATTCAAATACTTCTCAATGTAAAATTGCCTTGCTCTTTTTCAAGAATAATTCACAGAATGAATAGCAAATTTACTTCATGCGTATGTGACATCTATGAGCAAAGCAGAATTCAACCTTCTTGTAAAACTTCCTGCAGGTGTCACTTTTAAGAGACAATTTTAGGCCTTGAATATCACCAAGTACAATTTCCTTCAATTCTTCTCACTTTCCCTGGACGAAGATGTTTGAGAAACAACCATTTTTGTTGAGGGGAAGAAACAACAGCATTAAACAAAATTTATTAGTTCAAGGGAAGGCCAGAACTGGTTTGCTAGGTGGGTCAGTGGTTGTTAAGCAAGGCATTTTTTTTAGGTTTTCAGTGGTTGTTAAGTGGATTGGACAATTGGTTGTTAGTTAAGACACCTCTGTATTTGCTGAACAATCATCATTTTGTAATCTTTTCTTGTTTGATTTAACCCCTAGCTTGGCCCTTCATATGCTCAGGTAGGTTCTTTTTGATTGTCTACAATTTTCTTTGCAGTTACCTTTTTCTGTAGTTTTCCACCCATCAAAACTGTGTTCTCTGTTTTGGCAAAAAAGAATTTCTGTAAATTTAAAATAAGCTTTATTTTGTTTTCAACTGGTACTATGTCAGTTTGTTTTACCAGCAAGAAAAATACAACTTTCTTTCTTTATTAAACTGAAGCGAATTGCCCTCATTATGCCATTCTTCAGTTCTTAAGGCATATCTGTGCTGTATAATACTTGTTTACATATCTTGAACTTGTTGAAGATTTCCTTCAAACAATAAATGAAGGATTTTTGGTCTTCCAGTAAATATTGAGGTACTTTTTGTTCTATCGTTGTTTCCAATACGACGAAGTTCCTGCTTCCGCTGTGTATTTTCACGTGTCTTGCTCGCTCTGAGGGCGAAGTGAATGGTGAAGTTTTATTGTGAATTGCCTATTTCGATGCTGAACTGTCGATTCTACATGATCGTAATGAATATTTTTGTGAATGAGGTGTCGTGTGGTCTTCCTTAAAAGAAGTTGGACGGTAATTTCGCGGCACTAAAAGTATCGGTGACGATATCCATAACTACATATCACTGTTCAATTTTAGTGTTTTGCAGGTATAGTCGAAATATGGACCCCGAGAACTGCGCGCTGTGTGCCTTTTATGATCTACCGAACGAAGTGTTAATGCATATTCTGAGTTTTCTGCCGTATGAGGAACTATCACGATGCAGATTGGTTAGTGGCAAGAATATTTGTATTTTCTTTTCAGTGAATTTGAACATCTTTTCATTAGGTCAATCGAAAATTCAACATTATTTGCGGTCATCTACTTACTCTCGGTTTGAAAAAAGCTGATGAAATGAAGAAACGTCTATCAAAGCAAATTAGGCGACTAGCTCCACGCCGCGAATCCTTGAGAAGGAAACATGCCTTGGCTTGTACTTTGGATATTCTGTCTGCGCTGGACGTTCGAATGTCTCTTCTGAGCATGTCTTACATGCGTTACGTCGGTCTTCAGTTATGTCCTGTTGTCCCTGGGAAGGTTTGTACTGTACACTGAAGAGTCACGTTTTCTTCGGTTCGTCATGCCTTTTTTAATCTGATTTTTTGAAGGTTTTGGATGAAATCTTCGCACTTTTGAGGAGGATCGCTTCTTGTCCTACGAACGTAGACCCCGACATTCTTGTGGAAATCCGAGATATATCCTCTATGGCTGTGGAACATTTTGAAGAGAATATCGCTCCGGTGTTCAAGGAGATGGAATTGAGCGGTCGTGAGTGCCGGGGAATTTGAACCTTTATATTCTGTCACTGTTTTCGTTCGAAGATTCGATATCAAGGGAATTGAATATTCGCAGATGGAAAAAATTTGAACAGTTTGAAGAGAGTCATCCAAGCGAAGTCGGAATCGTGTGATGGTGTACCGTCGAAGCAAAAATTACTCATAGATTTCAATACATACGTAGAGATGAAGAACACCGCGAGATCTCTTCTCAAAGAAGTTAGTATGCCTTTTTAATTTCAGAAATGTCATTCGTTTTTTTGAATGTCGTTCTTTTCCTCTTTAGTATTGTTCGTTGAAGCGTAGGCTTAATTGTGTGGAAACTGCTGTATCTGAAATGCATCGGTCGAATTTTGTGGTACTGGAAGCAGCAGCGGAAGAAAATAAGTCACGAATCGAAAGACTTCAGGAAATTACCGCGTCTTCTGAAAAGTTGTGTCCTGGTGGTGTTGGATACACCCGTAAGAAGAAACGTGTCGCTGACGGTGGTGAAGTGTCGAAATTGAAGAAACGGAAAGTGGCAAGAAATGTGTAAAAACTAAAAATTGTGATGCTTTTTGAGCAGCCGTAGACAAAGTCATTCATCTCTCACGTGTACAAACCTTCCACCTGGTTGAGGATGCGTTCTTATGCTACGCATAATTTCCGACAGATGTGTGATTGTGAATGAATCCGTGAATTTTTCTGTTGAAAAGCGTTGTTCGAACATGGATTTAAACGCCGGGCTTGAGGATCTTCCGGACGAAATGCTCGTCAAAATTCTCTCCAGCTTGAACTACGGACAACTGGCGTGTTGTCGAATGGTGATTGGTTTTTTTTATATATTTTTTGGGTTAAAAGCCTCTTGAAATATTTTATATGATTACGTTTCTGTATCAATTAGGTCTGTAGGAAATTCAATGCCGTTTGCGGGGAACTGTTGTCCGCCGGATTTATTGCCGTGGAAGCAGAGAAAAATCGTATTTCAAAAGAATTGCGACTTCGGACTCCAAGGCGCTTCTCTGATCGCAAGTGTCATTCTTTATCAAAGCATATTGAGATCTTGGCTTCGTTGGATACCAGGATTTCGTTATTGCACATGACCTACTCACGTTACATTGACTCGAAGCAGTGTCCGTTTGTTCCTGGCAAGGTTAGTTTTTTTCGGTCTATTAATGCTTTTTGTAACTTTGACAGACTAGTACAGCTAGTGACTTAAATACTATGCAGTATCGTCATCGTTTCCGAAAATTTGTTGAATCTATTCAGTATTTCTGTGCGTTGCCGTCCTTTCATAGAAATTGCTTCAAGGCGAATTCATATCAAACGATGGTGCGAATGAACGAGTTATTATCATGAAAACATTCAATGATTGAAAAGATGATGATTTGTTCGGGTTTTGACGCTCGCTGAGTTGCTCTTTTTTGTACGAGTTCATTTGTGCTATTCTTAGTTAGAAAATTGTGCCCCGTTTATCCTGATTGCAAAAGATTACAAATTGGTTCGAACTTGGCTTTAGGTTCTGGATGAGATCTTCAGAGTGCTCAAGGTGGTGTCCAAGTTTTCTCCTATTCCGTGGGACTCGGAAATGCTAAAAGAACTTCGAGATTTGTCATCCATGGCAATAGAACATTTCGACGAGTTTATCGCCCCGCAATTCAAGGGAAAAATCCGGAGCATCATGCCGATTGGGCTATGTAATGTAGTCTATCGTGATTTCTGCGATGTATGTGTTAAAATTTTGTGGTATTTCCTTTTCTCAAGCTACTTCAGTCCTGGGTAGCTTGCAAGTGTCCCTCTCAAGGACACCGAAAAAGCAAGTGGGGACCTTCAATCCCTTGGACGGATTCGGAGTTAAGCCGAAGACTTATCTTGGAACTTCGACCAGGAAAACGTCGCATCCTGGTTACGGTAGCGATTTCAGAAATTTGACGGCCGAAGAAACTGTTCGTAATCGCATGCTGTTGATCGATCCCGACGAATATTGGGAGTTGTATTCTCAAATTCAGTCTTTAGCTTTAACGGTGAATGGATATTACATTTATTCATTTTTTCACTATTGATCATATTTCTTTCTTTTTAAGATCCCGAAGTTGAAAAAACAGATTTGCAAACTCACTTGTGAGCTGAAATCGAAGCCATCAAACAGCCCGCCGGTTGGAGATTTGGAGCGTGTTTTAGCTCAACAAGAACAGCAGCTGGATATGTTGGAACGTTTGACGATCATTCAAACTGAGCATGATGAAATTTGTTGTGCCGTCGAAGTGGAAAATGGATCCGTAGAATCCGGTGCAGTGATTGACAAGTGCGACGTGAAAATAACGAAAAAGTGCATGAAACGTACGCGTCAGAAAAATGATCCTGCTACCATTGATCGTGCCGGTCCATCGAAGCGATGTCGTCGGAAAAATTGATGGACTACTCGTCGTTCAGGGGGTTTACTATTTCTCCCAGACCTGATAAAAACGATGAGTAATCGTAAAATTTAATCAGAGGTCTGTATTTTGTATAATGATTTTCGTGACTCGTCAGTGGAAATGTGATAAGCCCGCATGTTTGAGCTATTTTTTTCTGCTGATGAGCAGTGCCTTGAATTGTCTCAATTGGTTTTCGTTCGGGTTATGTATTTTTCAGTGGGTGAGCAATTTCTTCGGTTTATATGACTAATATTGTGTGATTGGGTCCAAATTCAAAATTGCGTGTACTTTCAAGAAAACGCATTTGACGTCGTGGTCTGTGTGTTGTTTTCAACCCCCTTCTGCAGTGATGTTTAAATTACGCTTTGTGATGTTTCAGGTGACGCTATTCCGCTACTTCTTCTCTTTTCATTGCCATCTTGTGTTATTGAGTGGTGTTACCGTCCATATCTTTTCCCGTTTGAATGGGAAGTATGAATTGCGTCCGTTCAGTGCCTTTCATATGACTGATACCCGTACTGGGTGTTTGTGAAACGAAAGCAGAATTGGTGAGTACCAGAATTTTTGATTTAGTGCAGAACTTATTTTTCTTCTTCAGAAATCTTTGATCCCGTTTTGTTAGTGTTGATTTCACAGAAGTACTGTATTACGAATTAAGTAGACGCTGTTGTAGTCGGATTGAATGCCGTTTGGCTTTTTGTTTCGAGCCCACTTACTTTCTGTGAATGGGAAAAAGGCTACAAATTATACTCGATGCCTCATCAGAAGGATATATATGTTATTGTGATTTTTTTTTTGTGCACCGAAAACTTCTTGAGGAGATGAATTAGTTATGAAAATGAGGAAATACGTTGGCTCCCCTTCTTATTTTCTTACTGGGTGAACATGAAATGCAAGATGAAACTGTTCGAAAGGACTGTCGAGAACTGTGAAGTTCCCGTGGCGAAGGTTTGAGAAAAATACCATTTTCTACGGAAGAATTATCAAAGGAAATAATCATGAAACATTTTAAAGCTCTTCCTGATGATTCCGGAAGTCCAAAATTGTTAATTCCCCGACTAATTTCTGTATCGTATCTCGTCTGCTTGTGGTAGAATGAGATGTAAGCAAGTATTCTCCTGAAATCTGTGAAAATTTTGAAACGATTTGCTTTAAAAAGCAAGGAAGTTTGTTTTCCCTTTTCTGAGATGCGTGTTCAGAGTAGATACAAGTTAAACATTAGGTTTGATTATCACTGAGTGCATTCATGGGCCCCCGATTATTCTTATCTTGCAGTACTAAACGTTGTGTCGGTGCAAATGTAAAGGACCTCCTTCGTCCAACTTTACCAGCTCCAGCACTTCTCGAATTTGCGGCGAGGACACTGATTTAAGTCGGGAATTTTTCTATTGGAAACCGTGCTGCAGTTCACATTAGCGCTTTTTTTTTAACATCGCGAACTTCACATCATTGCCCGCGCTGATTTGAATGGCACCAGTTTAGTTCCAGCATGAAAATGATGCCAGATTGGAAGGCTGACTTTGCAGAGGATCGGTTAGATGTCACATTTCATTATTTGAAAATTGGGTGACGAATACTGTCCAGGTATTTCATTTTGTAAAGCGAGTGCATTTGCAGATATTATTTTCTTCTTTTGGCACTTGAACCCCTCCCCTTAGGCGCAGCCACGTGGTGATGGCCATAGTCAGATCAACCAAGAGGATTATCGGTTTATCTGTTACGAGTGGTTTTGAGCACATTTTTTGCAGGATGCATTTGATTTAGATTTTCAGCGTATTTGGTCACTTCCGATGGGTTTTCAATTGCTTCCGTCGCATGTTACTCATGTGTCACTGTTATTTGAGAAATCTTGAAGGTCTGGGGGTAAAAGGAAAGTCAGAATCGATAAATTGTGGGTGTCTTTGGAAATCACAACGAGCTAAGCAGGTTCTGTATTACAGCGTACAAGAAGAACCTTTTAAATTTCAGATTATTTCAGGGATTTCCAGGCTGTTGTTTGGTAAAGGGTCGGCAGGAGAAAAATAAATTTCCTCCTGTCTTCTGCAAGTCACAAGAATTGGAATTATGACTAGAACGGTCATTTAAGATTATGCCTTGAACGTTCACAAACGAACAAATTTATTGTTAAGGGAACTAGTGTAGAGGTTGCTTATTTAGCATTTTCAGTGAAATGACATTTTGTGCTTACATTTTTTTTTCTTTTTTTCTGTCGACGCGAAAATAAATTTCATCGAGTGTTTGGCGGAGTTGGAGGTTGAGAAGAAAATGAGCGTTGGTAATTTCAATTAAATTTTTCTGTTTTTTATCTGTAAGCTGTACAGTACTTCATTCCTAATTTTTGTCTTACGGTACTTGTTTTTTTTATTTCAGTTCAGGCTGACCTCATGGAACTACCGCACTACATACCACGTTCAAACATCGGCTACTATCAGCAACAAACTCCACCCCCGATGTCTCAACAAATGATGCATTCCAATCTTCAGCAACAGCACAACCCGATGATGTCGCAAATTCAGTATCGGTCTTCACACCAACCGATGTTTATGCGGGGTTCGAACAATTTCGTGCCAGCGAATGTGCCAATGCAACCCCAGGTGTACCAGCACAGTTACTCAGCTTCCGTTCAGAACACATTCCATCAGCCTATGGCCCAGCTTCCGGCCTACCATCAAAGCATGATGCCAAATCAGCCAGTGCCGCAGACTGTGAGTTTTTAAAGTGTCAGTTTCACCCCACTTCCTGAGCGTAATTGTTGTGGTTCCTGTGTAAGACGCCTGTGCTCTCCGCAACGGGACGTGGGTGTCGCCTGAAGGTAATTAGGGTTAATCTCTAACCGAAGTTAGGTTATCTTGGTTAACGTCGTTTTTATTTTCCATGGGTTAGGTTTAGTGAAATGAATTGACGGTCTGATCAGGTCTGGTTACATTGAACCAATTACATTCAGTTGGATTAGTTGAGGTTCTGGTTATTTCCTGTGAGATCAGCTGAAAATAGGATTGATGGTTCTGGCAACGCCTGTCCAACATTCAGGAAGAAGTCAGGCGCTGAAGAGAAAAAAAAAATCGAAAGCTAATATTTTCCCGTCTTATCCGGGATCAATTTATATTCTGTTACCCGTGGGTATGTATCGTTGCGGGATTCAAATGCGAATCCTTCTATCTTATTTTTCATTAGCCGGTGAATGAAGTGGTACCCGAAGTGCTGGCGAGCAAGGACCCCATAACTAAAGCAAAAGCGTTGGTTGGAGCAGTGAAGCGAGCGCTGGAACATTTAATTGAAGTGGCCATGGGGAATCTCAAATACAACGCCAGTGTTTGCGCTGGGTGTCCGAATTCTGTCCCTGCGATGCCTCCACCTGCTTTTGAATCCGCATTAGAAGAATTCGTTTTACTAACGAACCGATTGGAGATGCATTTGAAGGTGATTTATTTAAATAAGGATCTGAGTAAGATTCTGTTACCGTTTCCTGGATCAAGTTCACGATTGTCTGATGGAAGTGAGGATTGTTTGTTGACGGGTTTGATGATCAGGATGATTAGAATTGAGGGACCTGATTGTCTTTGCATCCGTCGAAATGTCGACCATTATTAGCGTTGCTTTCTGTTTCAGTTATTGAAAGAAGCTTCAGACTAAAGCTTTTTCAGTTAGTATGAGCTTGGTTTCAGGTCAGCTCGCCTTCAGAAGCTTGCGACGGAAACTCGGTGAAAAATAATTCTCAGTGATTGATCTGGATGAACTTGATATTGATGAAATTCTGGAAATATGTCCCAGCTTAAAATCTTGAGCTTTTCTTCGAATACAGAAATTTCAAACATTTTCTGCGACTATAAAATGTTCCACTGATGTCTTACGTTGTCGTACAACGAATTTTTAGTGCATGCAGATGTCGCTGGCTGTCACAGTGGCATTCTAACTTTATAATGGGTCAACTGAAACCAAATCTGCTGCTTGGTTCTTCCTGTACGCATGATTATTGTTAGTAGAATTAAATTACTGGCTAACCGGTCAATGGAAGGATTAATGACGGGTTGCCTTTTTTTGCGTGGAACAATTTTTCAAAAATAAATCCTCAACAATTCCACTACCGATTTTGATCGATTTTTGCATGTATTACTGACGATATTAAGTTCGGGAGCCACTTCGATGAATTTTAGCTTTCTGTAAACTTTACATCCTTAATCAGTGAAAAATTCTCATCGATCGCGTGCTGGTATTCATTTGGTCAATGTTAGTGATGAATTTTTTTCATTTCACTAGATAATATTGGAAACCTGGAAAACTGCGAGCGTGAGCCAACGCTTTGTGCCATTGCCGGTGAGCTTGTCAAAGATGGACTCCATCCAACCTGACAATGGGGTTCTGAGTTATTCGCAATACCTCGCCATCGTTCGTGGGCAGGTTGAATTCATCTCTGGGCTGAGATCTGCTCTCACCACGTTCACTCCGTTGTAACTCTGCGTAAACTTACCATTCCACAAGGAAAGCTTCCTCGCTCGAGTATTCAAATGTTCCTTCTCGGACCAACTTCAGGAAAGAAAATTTTGAAATTGAAGTTTATGATGCGTTGGGAAAATGTCGAGAGTTTAGCGTCCCGTGTCGAGATGCGTGTGTATATATGCGATGTCGTCGTGTTCAACGTCTCCCAAGATGGGGGAAATATAATTTTAGTCTTGCATTGATAGCTGGCATTCCTGGTGCGGATGTGTCCCAGAAAGAAAAAAAAAAACTATGGGCGCATCTTGTAGAATCGGAGATATGGAAACTACGCGGTTTTTTTGTGGATGAAGAGAGCGTTTTGTCACTCCTTCGTCCCCCTGAACTTATCGCTGGAAAACTGTCTGGATTAATCGAAGCGCCACTCGGAGAACTATGCACTGCATCTGAACTTCGAGTATATTCGAAATCTCGGCTGCTGAGCTTCGCTTGTATCTTGTGATGGACGGGATGTATTACCAGTATCCAGAGAGAGAAAACAATGTTTTTTCAGCGGAAGGTGTGTTGATGACGTCTAATGGATTGTCCACGCGCAGTGGTGTTATATTTAATCTTGTGATTTGAGTTCCGTATTTGTTATATGATCACACAAATCACTCGGAATTGCTATCTGCCTCCCAGTGCCTGAATGGATGAAAGAAACGGGGAGAAAAAGGAATATTTTGACACGTGTTTTTCGCTGTGATCCGTTCGTCAAATTCCTCGATTTCTGGGTGGGTATTGGCCAGTGCACATAAATTAGTCAGCAGTAAAAGTAGAGCTATTGGGCACTTCAGGGGACATGTGTTGGATGGTGTTTGTTTTGCTTGTTTGCTCGGTTATCTCGCTAGTCACGGGCCTTCGACTTGGCAAGAAGAAACTTTATGAGCTGGCTTCGGAGGAAGATCTGTGTGCAGGGAAATAAAAAAGAAAAATGGTGTTGTTGTTTGTAGAAATTTGAACTCGGATTTATGCCTTTTGACAAACTCTTTTTTTGATCTTCGATGAAAATGCTGTGTTGCAGGTGAAATCCGGTCGATCGTGATTCACGTTTTGCTTGGTTCGCGCGTCAGGATTGCAGCAGCGTCTAATGGGCTGACCAGCTTTTGGCATTTATTTGCACTGAGAAAATTTTGCAAATCACGCCAAGACGATGGAGGATGAGGTTATGACCTTCTATCCAACATGGGAGGAGTTTCAAGATTTTCAGGGGTACATCGCGTACATGGAATCTCAAGGAGCTCATCTTCGCGGAGTAGCAAAGGTTCGTTTTTTAAAGTACTGTACGATATTGTCAAGATTTCGAATTTGAGAAGTAATATTTTCTTCATCCATTTATTGAACTCAGAAATTTTGGTATGTCTTTCAAGGCTGAATACGAAGGGGAAATTTTATCGATGCGCTTAATTTTTTCTGCGCCTTTTATTTTTGCATCACCAAGAAACTCAATCTCGTGTGATGAATTGCAATTTCGAACGACTCCTCATTCAAATTTCTATTTATAAGTACATATTGACGGGAGCTTTTTGCTATACTGTACAAGTGTACAGGCTTACCTGAAAAATTTCATGTACACTTCGACGGATTTCAAGAACGCGGAAGGAATATTATTTCCATGCCTCAATTAACCGCGGATTTGACTAGATGTGGACTCTCTCTCCACAACGAAATTCAATAGACCAGACAAATTCCGTTGTAGAAAGAATTTATTTGTAGAGAACCCCTATAACATTCGGAGAAAATCCTGTTGAATAAAAATAAAAATCGTGATACGGAGATGATCGTTTTAGACAAAATTATTGTAGAAAGAGTCCACCTGTACTTGTGACATTGGGGAAGTGAGCTTGAAAAAATGTTATAAAATTAAGATCCTTTTGAAAAGCCGAGGTAACCTTTAAAAAGTCGCAAAAACATTTTTTTAACTTCATAGAATTTTTTTTTCTTTTTTATTTAGATTGTCCCTCCAAAAGAATGGGTTCCTCGACGCGTCCCATTGGCAGACGCACTGGACTCTCTGGGCGATTTCAAGATAAAACATCCGATTCTCCAGAATCTTATTCCGCATGGCGGAAAAGGAAATAAACCATTCTTTGTCGTGAACGTCCAGCAGAAAACTTTACCGTTGCGAGAGTTCGTGAAAAAGGCTGACGACAAGTAAGTTCTGTTCATTTCGGGGCAAAGTGTTGAATGGTTGATTTATGTGCCAACGGCGAATTTCAGTCCTCCACCAGCCACGTATGACGACGTCGATGCGATGGAACGTTTATATTGGAAGTCATTGTCGACGAAACCTACGCTTTATGGTGCGGATATTTGCGGAAGCTTGACCGACACGGATGTCAAGGTACCGAATGTTTATTTGTATCTCGTGCTAATGAATTGTCAGTTGATGCATTTTTAATTTGTACATATCGTGGAAATGTCCAAGAGCTTTGAAAGAGCGTTTTGATCAGGCCCATAACATCAACCTGATGTTCGTTTTTCAACTCTGCAGATTTGGAATTGTCAGCATCTGCCGTCGATTTTGGATTGCCTGAAAGACGATTACACGCATTCAACTATCGATGGTGTGAATACGCCTTATTTGTACTTTGGTATGTGGAAAACTACTTTTGCTGCGCATACTGAGGATATGGATCTCTACTCCATTAACTATAATCATCATGGAGCACCTAAATTTTGGTACGTTGTTATGGAAAGGGTTTTTCTGTCGGAATTTTGATTGAATTTTTTTTTATTCAGGTACGCTTTGGCCCCGAGCATGGCCCGAAAGTTCGAAAGAAACGTGAGGCAGACGTTTGTTCAGGAGTTCAAACAATGTCCGGGATTCTTGAGGCACAAATCGTTGCTTTTCCCACCAACCTGGTTCAAGTTTTACTCAATTCCGTTTTTTAAGGTGAGGAATTGAGCGGTTTATTCGTCGCATGCGATCAAGCCCTGTATTTATTTTATTTTTAAATGCCTTGACTTGATGTTTTTGAAGACAGCATGTAAATGTATGAAGAGTTTCAAATTTTTTGTTTTTTTATAACCATAAAACCTAATTTTGGCTCGAATTAGGATTATTTTATGAAAGATGCTTTCTTTCCAGGGAATTCAACGGGAAGGAGAGTTCATGATCACATTCCCCATGGCGTATCATTGGGGATTTAACTTCGGATTCAATATTGCTGAATCTACCAATTTTGCGACGGAGAGGTGGATTGAATATGGGAAGCGTTGTGTTCGCTGTGTGTGCGAGTAAGTTCCACTGACAATTCCCGTCTCATTTGTGCTCAAATTTGTGACTAGCTGCAGAAAATCTTGATTTTTAAAGGGAATCCTTGAAAACGTTCTAGCTCAATATTTTGCCGATGCACTTTTTAAATGGATGTTTGGATTGCCGGTTTCATCGTATACAGTATTTTCTAAAAATATTGAGAAAACTGTTCTCTTGTAGACCTGATCGTGTCAACATCAGTATGGAAGCTTTCGTCCGCCGTTTCCAACCAGACCAATATAAGGATTGGCTGTGGGGCAACGACTTGGGTACTCACCCAGCATATCCCAAAGACAGGAAAACGCCTGCCCCAGGTCCATGTGCCGAAGATCTCGAATGCACCAGAATGTGAGACGCGTGTTCATGCATTTTACTATCTTAACGAGCTTGATTTGTCGACTGAACAATGAAATGTATCGAAGTTTGTCGGGCCCTATTGCTATTCTCTTACTACCATTGCTAGTCTCAATGGTTTAATGAGTGGAATGATTTTTTTTCATCAACTTTGACTTTTGACCGTCAGTCGTTGGTAGTTTTTGCCTGATGCACGAATCTAACCAAAGTTGTAATCAGATTTCATTAAATCTGCTGAAGAAAACTGTAACTGAACCCGACTAAACTCACTTAACCCTAAAGTAACCTGTCCCAATTGCCGTGAAACAAAATGCGGGCGACACCTATGTAATGGTCGGGTAAATGTTCATGCCCTGGAGGTACGATATCTTTGGCAGTCTTCCCCGAATTCCACTCATCTAATTTTCATTCATTTTCTTCCGGATTTTTAGACGTTCGATTGAAATGGTCACCCGTCTTGCGGAGCTGCAAGCTGAGAAAGCCTGGAAAGATGAAGAAGGGCAGAAAAGAGAAGATGAACGCGGAAGGAAAGCTGCAGGTGATTATCTTATTCGTATAGTATTTATTTGTTTCTGAAGAGCTGGTTGTATGAAATTTTCCATTAGTTTTGTGCGTGATGCTTCAAAGTTTGTATTTTTCAATTCGGATTTCGAATCACAGAACGGAAAACTAAGAGAAATATGGCATCGAAGAGGCAAGCTACGGCGAGGAAGCTTTCAGAATCCGATAAAAAGCTTAAACTTGTTTTGGGGAACACTGAGTTGGTGTTGGATGAGATGAAATCAGAGGTGAAGGAAGAAAGCTTTGAAGAGCCGGGCCTAGTTTTGGAGTGTATTGAGGATGATGCAGAACTTGGGCAGTGTGATCAAGCTACCAAAAGTAGCGACAGTATCAGCGTTATTGGTATTGATGAGGTCCACGGGCAATCCACGGATTTCGAAACCAGTGTTTCTGCTATTGACGAAGATCCATCGGCTCACAAGGAGCACATGGAAGATGCGTACGAAACAGAGAGTCAGTGGATTGACCAACGTGTTGAATTAGATGAATCAGAGAGGATGAAAGGGTCTTTTGGAGACACCGATTACCAAAGTTCGTGTGGGAATTACTTGATCACTCAAGAACCGTTGGGGAAGATTGAGATGATCGGGACTACTCATTTGGAACAGCCGAATCAATGCAGCAGTCCAATGCCAGCAGATTATGCGACTTTGGTTGACATGGATCATAAAATGCCTGGTGGAAGTCAGTCTCCGCTTCTCCCAGATACTCCGGAATCAAGTTGCGATTCAAGAAAAAACTCCGAGGAAGTGTTCGGAGTGGAGCACAGGATTTCTCCATTGGGTACAGAACATGGTGAGTGGCCAACGGAATTTTAAAAAAATTTACCAGTGTAAGTGTGTTGTTTTTTTTCCGCGTCGAATTCCGACGTAAATGCTGATTACACAAACCGAGAGTGATTTTTAAAGAATGTGGTGATGCAGAAATTCAGTAGAAATCCTGAAGTGTGGTTGGTTTTAATAATAAATGCCACAAGACTTTTCCGAATTTAGAGAAAACCGAAGTGCAAGAGCGTTTAAGCCGCTCCCAAGCTAAATTTGGAGTTTTAAGCCAAAGGGAGAAAATGAGACAACAGGCAACCATGTCAGTTTTTGTGAGACTGATGATCTATTCACAATTCAACACACTTTAAATACACAGAACAGGCATGAACATGTAGGCACTTTTCAACAATGAAACAAGTTCTGGAAACCAGGAAATTTTCCAAGGATAAATTCTTACAATTGCGTAATTTGCGACTCAAAATATCTTACTCAATTTTGTAGATATAAAATTGCGCGACGTCTCAAATTGTAGATTGCAAAGTTTTCTACAAATGTGATGACGCAAATATTGATACGACGCACAGTTTTCAAGATCCTCTCAATTCCCGCAAAATCTTTTTTCCGCCGAGTTGCTTAGCTGATAAAATCGGCACAACACCTGGCCTGATAAAAATCACTAAAACCAGGCGCAGGGAATAAAAATGAAGTTGTCCCACTTGGGGCATTCAAAAAGAAAAGTACATAATTGCAGCTGCTAGGTTTCAACAAAAAGTTCAGGCTGCAAATATCAAAATGTTCCTTTCTAAAATCAAATCCATTAATGAATATCCATTCTTGGCCAGGTGACTCAATATTTCTTATACAGGCTCAGAGGCGGATTATATGTCGCATTTGATTCATACAACACTGAAGCTTTGTTGACAGTTCATCCTGAAACTCTGCTTATTCTCGTCTTAATCCGAAACAAATTTTTGCTGCAGGCTCAGACAATGACTCCTTTGAAGATGACGAGAAGTACAAACGCGCAGTAATTCCAAAGTTGAAGGCCACTAAGAAAGAAAAGATCAGGGCAGGTAGGTTAAGGAACCATTTGGCATTTATTTTTGTTCCATTTTTGGTTCTAATGTTTTGAAGGGTCTGTCCCCTGTATTAGTAGACTGAACACATTATCTCTTTCTCTATTACTGTACCAGCATTTCCATCTGTGTCGTAATGTCTGCTATCAATTGTCTTTTTCACTGGTTTTTTTTGCAATATCGTAATGTTTCAAGGCTGTTTTAGACAGAATATTAATCGTCATTTTATTTTGTTGGATTGCCAATTTTTTTTCAATACTTTTTCACTGCTGTATCAATGAAGTTATGCGCCCGAACTGTGTCTTTTCGCAACTACTTGATGATAAAACCGAACTGCATCTGAGTACAGTACAGTACATGTTTTATTTCGAAGAAACATGTCAATGCAGTTGTCTGATGTCAAAATTTTTGGCTATCGAAACCTTCGATGTGATGCACAAATTGTTACCAAGCATCCCAGTTTTAGCAATATTAAAGGGAAAAATCCTATATGCGTACTCTTTAGCGGGAAGATGAATATATACAGTAATTTTTGCGCAGTGCTGGAATGTAGGATTTTTGCCAGTCTCGCTAATTATCCACGTTGTAAGTTTTGTAAATTTTTCTTGAATCTCGACGCAGAGATAGATGTCACCGTCCTACTTTTTTGTTGATTAAAATTTCGACGTGCATAAGCTATTTTAAAGATGCCCTCACGAGTCTACTGTCCTAATTTTCTCGAACTCTTTTTACATGACGAATGGACTAGATTTCATACATTCTGAAGAAGAAACCAAAAATTCAGAGTGCTTTCGACCTTTTCTTTCTCAGAGAATCAACATCAAGCCTCGTCATCTGTCCGAGATGCAGCGGACATGGAAAAGCACATGAAGCGATCCCTTGCACCGTCCCACGGTGCGAATAAACCGGGTCGGATCCAAGGCCCCCAGAGTGCCATCATCCATGTCCGGTCGACGCTTGCGAAACCACGCAACGTTGAAAGAATTGAGCAAATTATCAAGGAAAATCGCAGGGAGTCCCCTCCGAAAGACTACGACGTCTTGGCGCGGATTATGTCTCTGTAACGAGGAATTCATTTTATTTTTTTGTTGCGTTGCTCTCTCGTGTTCTCCGTTCGAATTGTAGTATTTTGTAAGAATGTTTTTTGACGGAATGATTGCAGTCCGGTGTTAATTCAAGTGTCCTGAGAATACCCATTTTATTTTATTTCGATTAGTTTGAACTCGTCACGTCTTCCTTAGAACAGAAAACTTTTCTTTTAATAGAGCTTGTCCTGGTTCCGCGCGCTGCAAAGATTGACGAAACAAAAGCTACTTCGAACTTTTGAAGGAAAATATTCTCTGCAATATTTTTCTGAAAATATTCTCCCCTTCCGGTTTTTTCGTCAGAATAACAAAAAAAGGATGAGAACTTTTCCAGTGGTGGAGGAATGCAATTTTCTTGCTTCAGTTCATACGAAGCGTACTTTAAAGCAAAATGAGAATTCTCATCTTTTCAATTTCCTTGCATCAGCCTCCCAGTTGAAAAGAAGAAACTTTAGGAAAAATTCTCAATTTTTTCCGCAGAAGGTCCGTGGCACTGGGTACGAAAAACTTCTCCCACTACCGGATGAATTCTCTTCCACTTTCTAATCTTTCCATTAAGAATATTTGGCGTGAAGTCGTCTTGCGTGTTGCTTGCGAAATGTTTAAGGGCACGGGGAACTGGGACAATACTCGACCATTAGGACAGTGTTACAGGTTCAGATACATTTTTTATTTTATTTTTGATCGCATTCAAAGGAGTGTGGTCTTGAAAATGTGAGCGAGGGATTTCGTTTGGTAACTGCTACTATTTTAAACTTTTCTGTTGCGCAAAAATCTTCGCTGCTCAAGCTTTTTTTTTTTTTTTCAAACTTATTCACGCATTGCAAAACCCCGTTCTTTATGCGTGCTTGATCCCGATGAGAGCGTGTATTAGATTTTTAATCGCTTGACCTTCGTGTCGCGGATGTCCGGACGGTCCTTGAAAATTGAGATGATGCACTCCCAAATTGTACGATTCTTCGATTTTTCGTGAAAGGAATTTTCGGAGATGGAAAGTTTGAAACGGTCATTGATGTTTTTATAAGAGCAGCTGGTTTTCTGTTTTCTGGAGAAGATTGACGGAAAAGTTTGAAAGCTGCGGAATTCGATCTCGTGTGTGGAAGTTGACATCCCCGTCGTTCGGAGTGAATGATTGAAATGGTGAAAAAACTTCTTTCGTAGTCATTCGTCGTTCGAGTTGGAAAATTTACTTTTATGGCCTGCGTGTCGGGAATGAATCGGAAAGATAAAAGTAACTGAATGAAATTATGATTGCGTGAGTTTCGATTCGATTTACTCTGGGATAAGGTTTTTGTACTGAGGTTTTTCTAGCACAGTATTAAGAAAATTATGTTTCTTTCGGCCTCCTTTGGAAACCAACTCGTGTGAAAGTCAATCTTATTGTCAAAATTGCCCTAATGTATATGCGGGGTTACCGAAAGGTGCGGAACATCCTGGAAAACAAAGGAAAACAGTAATGTTGAAATTTATGTTGTGCTAACAAAATCTCATGACTTCATTCGCTGATGAGAATGAACAGCTAGAAATGGTTCTGAAATTCACCTGTCATGTGCATCATGAAGACTTAGAAAAACTAATTTTTCGGTTAGCCGAAGTGGCATGACAAGATTCAGCTGAAAATATTTCATGGTCTCTCAGGCTAACCTTTTTCTTTTCTTATTTCGACACCTGTAGAACTTTTCATTAATGTAATAACCCATTGTAAGTTTTCTGCAAAATGTGCCCCTGAAGAAACATTGCTAATTTGATGCGAAGTTTCATCCTAAGCAGATTTTCTGAAATTTTTTGATGAGTGGCTCACTGAAAATTAGCGGAAAAATTATTCCCAAGTAAGATGCCTGTTCACCCGTGTTCTTCATTACGGAAAAATACCAGTCCGTGCGATAATTCCGAAAAAAGGAGAACATAAATTTGGAATAAATCAAATATAAATTTAATTATGTCAGTTTGTTTTTCTTTCATTTTTGACTCATGGTATAATTAGTAAAATCATTTATGAAATAAAATCTGATGTGCACCCAATTTTTTTGGAATAAACGTGCGTGTGGTACTTGTGAAAATACAGTCCGTAATGATCATGGTCTGATGGATTTTTCCATAGGGATTTTCAGCATCATCAAAACATTTTCAGGATTCTTTCATTGATGCAGATCTCACCTCCACTACCAATTCAATTTGATTGGATGGAAATTTTAAAGGGAAAAAATCAAGCCTCTGGAGATCCAACAATTCGCGTTCAAATATAATTCTCGGGGGGAGAATAATTTTGTGACTATTTTCACAATATCATTTACCAATTCAATTTGATAGGATGGAAATTTTAAAGGGAGAAAATCAAGCCTCTGGAGATCCAACAATTCGCGTTCAAATATAATTCTCGGGGGGAGAATAATTTTGTGACTATTTTCACAATATCATCATCAATCACGATAGATCAAACATTTCGGCGATTCCTGCTGACGCGATATAAGATCCGAATCATATCCTATGATTTGCTCGTTTCCTGGCGCCAATAATTGATACGTGATATGCGTATATATACAGTATAAATATGCGCATATCACTGTTGAAATTCTGTAAAATAGGCGGTGATCAATTCGATTTGTTGGATTGTCTCGCAATCGTTTATGTTGCAGAAATGATGGATCATCATTTTGATGAATGCCATTAAATTCCTGATGGATACGCCCCATGAATATTCATCGGAATCAAGCTAAATACGTCAGTATATTCCTTCTATTGTTGAAGGCATAAACTTAATTTAATTTGTAGACGCGTCGGCTTTAAACTTCCATGATGCATGAGCTATACATCTTGTCTGCATACGTTTGAAATGCGACTTGTGTTGATGTTCTCTACGTGCTTCAGAAAGCTTGATGCTTGATGATGCGTTCATCGTCGCTTCGTATTGCGGAGAGCGTCGGAATGAGATGCGACGATATATAATTGCTTCCACCCGTAAACGTATAAGACATTTTCAGTTATGTCGTCTTAATTTATTTCGCTGTTCAATGTACGATCAACGATATTTGCGAGAAATGCGGGGACTTTTATGAGCATATACCATATAATCGATCTCTTGATTTATATATATTTCGGGGCGTCGACCTTATTGATGCGAATATCATTGTTTGTTCTTCTTTGCGTGTGTCGGAGCCTTTCACAACGGGGATTTCCCTCCACTAATAATAAGGGAGTCATATACGCAAGTATTTGTCCGTATATACATATACAGTACATTTATATTTTCCATGCATATCTATAATGCTTGGGAGAATTCGTCGAACAAACAATAATAAATTCGGATCATATCAAATATTATTATGTGCAATAAAGTACTGTATAGACAGTATTATACTGATGATGAATTTACGCTGGTCAAATAATGGAACTTCAAAAAATTTTGACCTGCATATTGGAAATGGAATAAAATGGTATACTAGCTGATATATAGATGAGAAATTCAAATATCCTATTTTTTTATGTTTCATGTGTCCTGTGCTGTGACTGCATGATGGGCACCTTATTCTCAGCTTGTTTATATTTATTGTACAGGATATGCTGTATATATACTGTACAGCAGGGCTTTTCAACCTTTTTCAGGCACGTACCCCTTTTCACCCTCTGGAACAGGCGTGTACCCCTAGTGACTTGAAATGTAGGTGTAAATCTTATAATAGCCATGTGTACAGAATTATAATTGAAAATTTTTATAATTACCTTCAAAATATAATTTAATCCCTGAATTAAAAAAAAGTAATTATTGTCTACTTGAAGAAATGTACAGTACTTACTCTTGATGAGAAATTCCAGACCTTCTGGATCCAGAAAAATAACTACCCATGATTCATTTATGAAAAAATAATTATATGTTGGTTAGGATTTGAAATTTGCATAATTTTAGGAAAAGTCGTATGATTGCCTTACATTTTGATAAAATGTGAAAAAATTGAGGAGTCCTAACCAGGTAAATGGGCATCACAATATGATTTGTTTTTATTTCGTATGTGACAAACACATTTTTTGCATTTTTATTTACCCAGAAACCTGGCAAACTTGCAAAACCAATTTTTNATTTTTGAATTATTCCTGGAAATGTCATGCTGAGGATGCATGTATGTTGTTCCTGTAAATTGAATACAGAACTGTTTTCAAATAATGTTCTCCAGAATAAAAGAAAGGAAACTGTTCAACTCTTAATCTGCTGAACAGAAAACAGGCACAATTTTGTAAATTTAAAAGATAAGCCAAAAAATACAATGCAAATAATTTAGGACAAATGATTAATTTGGGCAAAATAAATCACAAATTCCCCTGGGCTACAACTTTATAAAAATGGAATAATTAAAAATAGAATTATTAGTTGTCACCTTTGGTCATATTTTCCTGCGTGAGTTGTCCCATAACCCTTTTTTTTTTTGACAGTGGGCGCGTACCCCCTGGCAAGCACTTGCCGGTTGAAAAGCCCTGCGTACAGTATTTATAGACAATAAATGCTGCAGGTTGTATAATATGAAATTTTCTCAGAAATATATTGTAATCCTAATACTGTACTGTATTTTTTATATGTATAGGTGTTAAGTGCAGTTATATACAATGCACTTGATAATTTATGAACTCAATTAAAGATATACATGTACACTGTATAGTACATATTGTACATATATCAAAGAGCCCAGAAGAAGTCAAGGAAAAACTTCCAAATGTACTGTATGTGTTTATACAAATAATAATGCATTGAAATACAGTATGTAGCAGATAATCCTTTTAATGATTTTCAGGAAAACTATAATTTCAGTTTACACCAAATAATGCTTTAAAAATGGCAAACACAATGTCAAAAGCAGCCATAAATAGTTAGCTACAAAATACTTGAACGTCATTTAAAAATGTCTGTATGCAATTGCATTCCTATAGTTTCCTACTCTTGATAAATTATTCAATCAAAATTGAATCAAAATATAGAAAATTAAGATGCGTATACTTGCTGTTTTTATTGCTGTTGAGCTCATGTAATGTTTCATGGTTGTTTCATGATCTGCCGTGAGCAGTTTAATCTCAGTCTCTATGTCTTGGAAAGCTCTTTGATAGCGAGCAGTGCAGCTCTTTGCTATACTGTACAGAGGAAACTTGAAATAAGTTATACTGCAATTTCAAAGTTTATTTCATGGTTTATAACTTGATGGAGAGTTACTTATACTGGTACAGTACATGCAAAAATTATATGAAACCTTAACAAGTTAGAAAGGGGAATAAGATGCCTCATATCGCAGCTCTTCTGATGGGGAATCCGAGTTAATCATCTTATTGGAGCTTCCTGCTGAGGAATTCTGAGGATTTTTGAAAACACCCTTGCTGCACATCACATTCAGCCAGTTGAATTATTGGAAAAGTGCGCCCCTGTTGTCTTGGAGGGATCTATTGATAACATCAATAAGCAATGAAGGAACAGCACGGAGGGTTTCTCCATCAGCGAGTCAACTCAGCCATAATTGAGAGGAATGGTGCTGGATATTTCATCGCGAAATGAGGCCACGGAAGTCGCAATTTTGCAACACAGGAACGAAGTTCGCTGTCTGGTGGCGTGGCGTATAGAAACACATGGATCAATATTTGGCATGTGCAGAAAAAAAAGGGCGAATGTGTGTTTGGGTGTGTTTAGTCCGAGTCATCATCTGCAGTCAGTGGGTCTCGCGGGGCTTATCGAAGAGGTGTGTTTCATGGAGAAGTTCCATTTCGTTTCATTTTTTTGTTCGTGTGTGTGTGATATACTGTACTGTATTTAAATTTTCTGCTGTACGGTATTTTCAGACGGGATAGGCGTTGAATAATTTTTACCATATTCCTGCCAAAGTGCATTTTTATTGAAATTTTTCAGGAAATATTAAATTTTGCGTTGCGTGTAGAATTACAGTATATAGGATCTTTGTAAGAATTCCTGCTTACAAAAATGGGTTCAAATTAAATTTTTATTTGAGCCGAAATTATTTTTCCATAATCTATAATATTGCTGTTGCATTATTTAGATATTTGATTTTTAAATATGGGGAGCATGTTTAATGTGAGGATACACGCGTAAAAAACGATAAATTCTCATCTTGAAAATCGTGGAACTTATAAATCAGCAATCGCGTGTTATACGGTGAAATATGGTATTTTTTCGAACTTTTTGGTGCTTATTTCATTGAATATCCTAAATGTTCAGGATATTTTGGATATCAGTCAAGTTGAGCAGCAGTGGAGGGTCATGA